TGGACAATCATTTTTCTAAATATGGAAAAATAAACAGTATTGAGGTATGGTTTTAAGGAGAGCACAAGGTACGGTTTTAACTAATTTTGTGTTTTTAGATTTGCCACAAAAACGATCCTTGTGCTGCTATCATTGAATTCGCTAGTCCCTTTGACGCTAAAAAGGTCTATCGCAGCACAGAGCCAGTTTTTGAGAATCGCTTCATCAAGGTGTTTTGGGGTGCCAATGTCAATTTTGAAAAGATTGCCAATGGTAAGCCAAACAACCCTCCCCAAAACTGGACTGCTCCTTCAAATGCACAAAATCGACTACTACCTGCGTTTACGCCGTCTAAGCCCAACTCAGTTTCTTCAGCAAAAGCTTCTCAGCACTCCTCTGCGACATCTCCGCCAATACCAAATATCAGCACTATTGAGAGGGAGAAGCTTCGCAAAGAGCTGATTGAGGAGCACAAAGAACTGAGTGAGACGATGGCGAACAAGGACATGCTGCTGAAGAAAATGAACAATGCGAAAACGGCAGAGGAAAAGGCCAAAATCAAAGGCCTGATAGTGTTTACTATGAAAAAGGCTGAGGAGCTTTCGAAGACGATCAAAAGTAAATACGAACGCCTTTCGCTGGCACAACGAACTGTTAAAGTGTACACGCCGAATGTCGTTCACAAAGCTCAGCCATCAGCGCCGGCACCGTTTCATCTGTCACATCCATTGCCTAGTCCATCATCTGCGGCTTCCAACGACTTTGCGGACGACGATGTGGCGATGAACCAGGAAGAAGGAGGCCATTCCACGAACGGTAGTGCATCGAACGGAAACCAAGACAGGGATCACCACTTTGCAGCTGAGGATGATGATGAGGAGGTGGACGAGGATGAGGAATTTGAGGACTACGAAAAGGTTAGCCGGCGAGGTCATTGGTTTAGATAATGTACTTACAGTTTAGACTTTTCACTTTCAACTCCAGGAGGACTCTTTCCTTTCGGCGTCAAAGCGTTGCAAGTGGGATGACTCCTCCTCATCATCCAGCGAAGAAGCGTAGATTTCTTTTGCATCTTTATATTTTTTAATATTTGTAGTGATATAACTCATCTCTCTCTCTCTCTCTTTCTCTCTCTCGCACATCTCTCATTCCAACAACTGAAACAAACTTATGAACTTTATTTTTTTAAGAAGCAAACAAATGCACTTGTGTTCTGAGCAATTTCCGTTTTGAAAAGAAAATGAACACCCACTGTTGATAATCAATCATCTTTTGTTGATAACACAAACTCCTGCATGATGTTAAGCTATGTTAACTAGAAAAGCAGTTTTTCTATTGTACTTTTTACTGCACTTGAAAAGTGCCAGAGGCAAGCCTGAGGACATACTGTGGCACCTCATCAGGGGTCAGCAGTGCCTGCTCAGGTCCAACACAGCAGAACACAAGTGGCAGATAGATTGTGCCTGAGTGAGTGCCTAGCCTGAGCACACGTGCTTGAGCCAGCAACGATGGCGGACAATACTNTGAGTGCCTAGCCTGAGCACACGTGCTTGAGCCAGCAACGATGGCGGACAATACTGCCTTTTCAGTTAGCTTCATCATCAATCCTCTGATTTCACTGTACCGGAGAGTGTTTGCACCAGCAACAACTTCCTCACTCCCGACTGCCTTCACATCGCAATGGGCAAATTGGTTCTATGCCTTCCTC